CTCTCTATACTATCGTGATGTTACAAAACGAAGGTATCACAAGATGGGCAGGAGCTTGCAGTACACGCGGTTCACTCTTTTACCTAGAGTTTCATGCGACCAGCATAGTACGAAACAGGTTCAGTCGAGCTTATTTTTAGAAAACTGGGACTTCCTTTCTGTGTGGAAGAGATACACGGACTGATCTTAGAGCATCTTCCCGAGACAAAAGAGTTAACTGACTATAAAAGTCCAGTTTCCACCCTTGCCGAACTAGGCTGGTATTATTGAGTTACATTTTGGCTGGACTAACGAGTCTATGCATAGTCAAATCAAAATCGCGCACCGAAATCAAAATCCGGTTTGTAAACTGTCGTGCAGATTTCGATCGATTGCGGGATTTGCAAAGCATGTGCATCGCCAATTCATTGTCAGCAGATATTTTCAAAATCCTTTCATGTTTTTAATCAAGGTGCTCACGTGATTTGATGCATTTCGCGATGGAAGACCCGTTTTATCACGATATAGATCTTGATTATCGATCAGATCGTCCTGACTGGGCGCCACAATTTTGTGTGAAGCAAACGCAAGTGATACGAGAGTTGGAATCTGATTGGTCCATAGGATAGGCTTAGAAGGGACATAATTAGTAATAGCCACTGGTGTCGCAACGATTGAGCCCAGGAATTCCAGCCTAGTTCGGCAAGGGTGGAAACTGGACTTTTAAAGTCAGTTAACTTCCTTGCCTCGGGAAGATGATCTTAGAGTTGAGTGAACAAAGTTTTAACACTGAGAGATAGGAAACACTGGAACTGGCATGTTACCTCCAGGAAAAGTCAGGAATGCATAGGCTCCATCTTGGTAATGTAGTATGCTACCTTTAAATGGCATGAATGATGGGAAGGAATTTCAGGCAGTTGCTGTGTCAAGCCTTGAGGTTGCCCACCAACTCAACCACCACTGTCAGCTAGAAGTGTTCCTAACCCTTGGCATCCAGAAAAGGGTAATGAGGGGGCACAAAAGGATGTTATTGAAGACAGTCTACTCAGTGTTCCAACACTGACAATGAGGACATAGAGTCCAATCTAATCACATTCTATGCAAGGTTTGAAAACAAAATCTCAAGAGGCGAGTCAATAAAATCTGGTAATGTCCTTCACCAAGATGTCTCCAGATATGGCTAAAGAAAAGATGCCAGCGGCTGAATCAATAACAACCTGTCTTCAGGAAACAAGAGGAGATTCAAGGCTGTGTGAAACTGCCCCTTATGAACTACAGGGACTGCTGAGACTTTCCCTCCTCCATCTTAAAACTCAGCTGTTCCATGAGATGATGGAAAGATTGACATCAAGAAGCAGGATTGCCAGCTTAGTTGAGATGAAAAGCAGTTAACAAAGTAAGAATCGAAGCTGATCCCCTCAGTGTAGTTGGGGGGTGGCTGGTAGTAGCAGGTGCCAGTCACACAGGAACATCGCCCCATCACTGCCATATTTTAAATTGGAGGAACTGGGAGACTGGCAGGATCATAATCTCAGTAACCAAAGCGACCCCAGTGATTGCCAGCAACCCTTACCTCTTCAAGCATGCAGTTTGCCTTGATAAATGTGTTGGATGATAGGTGATATGGAGACAAACTAGCAAAAAAAATGCTAAAAGTTGACTGACTACATGAGGAAGGTTGAAACACACGCTGAATATTCCATGTGCTCTAGCCTCTTATGACTGTGACTGAATATGACGTACATGGTATGAATCTGAAGAGAAACAGTGTTGTTAAGAGCTAATATCAACTCATAGAACTTGGAAATGAGTCTTGATAGTAGTTGAACAGAGCTGAAAAAAACTGATAAAGCCTTGGACAAGGGCGACAAGGAGAGGTGGAGAACTGCAGCCATAAGACTAATAACAACAACAAATGGTGGAAAGAGAGAGAACCAATACCGATTTTGGAAAAATTCAAGTCCAAGGGAAGAGAGGATGAAAGCAGCATCCCTTGGGGTTTTGTAAGGAGCGCTTGAAATTTAAAGGACTGGAGGAGACATTCTTGATTCAAAATGGCAGCTCAAAGTCTGCTATTCGTGAACGGTAACAGAGAACAAAGACAACATGGTACCACAAACAACAACCTGCCACATGGCAAGGAATTCTGTTTGGTAAAATACCAAACATGTAAAATTTAAACACCCACAAAAGAATGCAACAAAAGTAGAGAACGAAACGATTGACAGTACAAAACTGGACAAAGCTACCAGTAAATAAGCAAGACCACTTTATAATGTACAAATAAGAACAAATTACAGAAAAATAAGATGTCAAGTTAGTTAATAATATGCATCAGACTGTAGGAACAGGACAAAAGACTGTTGTCCCCCGTAACAGTAACAATGCACACCACAAAGTTATGATGGCGATTTCAGGGCTCAATGATGCCACATCCGAACAACATGGCAATTCAATGCAAGAGTAAGATTAACTCCCTGGATGCCACAGGGACACATAGGTAGATACATGCAATGATTTGATATTTTCAACAGAAATTGTCAAAGTTACCGTCCTGTGTGACGCCATGACTGACGCATAATCACGCACAACGACAACAGTATTTATCTGAATTTCTGACTATTTCCGTTTGTTTCAATGAAAATTATAACAACAAATAATTGTACACAGATTGTCAGAATGTTTCTGATTACTTACATGTCACATTTATGTATATACGATCCCTGAATCAACGAAAGTCCCCACGTAAAACCCCTCGTACTGTTGACATTGATCACGCCATTTTGTAATAGTCAGACACAGGTACTGATGTCATATGTCAACATTGTTGTACATATTTGGTAATTTCTTTGAGGTGAAGGTCCTTGAATAAGAGTGCACACGATCATTGTATCATGCTGTTTACAGTTTCTGTTATGATGTAGATTTTGCAATTGTTTTATACATTTTTCCACACTATTAATTTCACTTTGGATATTTGTCAATGTTCAAAATGATATCATACGTAAATATAGGCCACAACATGTATGAACGAACCTTTGATAATCTCCTGTTTGTTTAAACATTGTTTACATAACAATTGATAGGTTTTTAGTGCCGAATACAACATTTCTTTCCTTTGGACAAGTGTTATAAGATGAAGAGTAAATGTAACTGCAGCATGTACGTATTTCTTGGGATGTGTAATAGTCAATATTATAAGTTCATATAAACAATGTCCATGAATAGCCGTTTCATTTTATTTTATAACTAAAACTGAATATATTACTTTAACAAAATGGATAATATTTTTCAGTAAAATATATGCACACATTTCTGAAAGAATTGTCTTGGTCTTGGAAGTGTTTTTTTTATGTCATTTGATACACAGAACAGTGATATCTAACGATTCGCCAGGTGCGCAAACAATTTCCGAATTATTCCTCTCGTTTTGAATTATATAATCAATGGGTTCATTCTTTTTACAATATTGGGATCACAGGATATTAAACTGTTTACTTTATTTCTCCAGGAATTGTAAAATGTACAAAAATAAAACCCATGCCAGGTACCCCGGTGGTTCAACCGTATACGATTATCCTGATAATTCTATACCAATAGAGCTTTCTTCGCATCTTTTATTGTGTAATTCTGAGACGAGATGAAGAGAAATAATAACATAATAATGAATAAATATATGTCCAATACTGACTATAATTTTGGTTGTTTTGAAATATTCTTTTGGGTATTTCATTACGTAAATTGATGCCAAACAGGTGCTTGTCTTGCCCAATTAAGATACACGATAAACTATCTATTTGTTTATATATTCAAGACATTATTTACGTGGTGAAAGCAGTCATTTTATGTTTTGTCGAAAAAGCGTCAAATTCTGTTTTACACATCAAGATTTTCCATACCATGAACGAAAATTAGGGGAGATATATATTAATCAAAATACCAGTGTCGTCTTTCTCCTACGTTATCAAAGACATAAAACCACCCATGACGTGAAAAGGAATGGTGTTATTTTTTTGGTATTTCATTACATTTGATGATAGGGCTGGTGCTCCATTAATATTGATGCAACATTAGTCAAGTTACACTTACACAATCAGGAGAATGTTGGAATCTAAGGACTAAGTTATAGGTTATATAGGGCCATCCATTTCTCTATTACCTCTTTTTTATTAAGTACGATTTCCTCATTTCTTATGGAGGGATTTTATTACTAAACGTATACAGTTTCAATATTGATATTTGCGCTGGAATAGTTTGGTTCCTCGTGAACAAAACACCACAAACATATATTGTCCTTACCCACAGCTAATTCTCACCAAGTGACCTGAGTTACAATAAACTAGGTGTACGATAAAAGCGGAGAAATGTACTGTTTTTCAACAGCGAATACATTCTCGGAAAACACTTAGTAGTTGTTGTTTTTTAAACCGGTTTAATATTTGCAGTTAAATTTAAACCATCAAATAGGAAATTTAGCGCACAACCTTCACTTTTCTGATCTTAGGAAAATGTGCGTCAGAAAAAAAACCCTCAGCATCCAGAGGGTTAAGGGCAGCAAACTTTGAATGGGTGACCTACTTCCACTTGTATTTGTGGGAGGTGTTACCACTCTGTGCTATGGATATTGAAGATAAGGAGCCGACTATTTGATACTTAAAGGGGGTGACCAGGGATTTTATTGAAAAAAAAAGTTGTCCCTGAAATATAGAAAAAATAATAATTATGCTTCATACTGTTGTAAGAAAAAAGAAATTGTCTGCCACAAAAATAAGAAAGAAATTATTTTGGCTCATAGATTTATTTAACAAAATCCCAGATAGGAAGGAGATAAATAAAGAAACTGTTTGGTTACCATAGTCAGTCTTTTGACACAGCCATTTTAAAACTAAATATTTGACTTGTGTCCATGATGGCTTGGGTTTTGTTTTTTAGTTAATGTCAAAATAGAGAGGCTAGGAAGCAACTCTGGTATGATATAAGAGTATTTGAAGTTCAGTTCATGTGAGTAAAACTATACATACCTGTGTCCAGTGATGCAGGACTGAATTCACATTATGCACTTCAGGAGTCATTTCATGTAAGTTTGTGAAATATTGAAGTCTGCAACAGAAAGACTGCAATCAAATTTCGCAGTATGTTTATTGTAGATGATACACTGATCTGTACTTATAAATGAAGACCTCGTCACATAACTTTTACACAGCTGAAAAGAGAAAACCAGAAGCTTACCTTAGAAAATATATATAAAAAGTCAGAAATAAAATGTATTTTTTAGTGTAAAATATCATTTATACTTATCAAGACTCATATCCGCTTATCTCATCTCATGTGCTGTGTTCTCGGAGAACAGAAACAAAGCGGGAACGGCTTGGGTGGGAGCTTTAGCGTACGAGTCAGGATAAGAAAAAGGATACTTTCACTCTAAAAGATACATATTTACCTTATCCTGACTCACACTAATTGCTTGAATCCCACAGAAGGTGTTGGGTTCCACCTATGTGCTTGATTAAGACCACTATCTGTTGAATAACCACATGGGAACATGAAAACATCTTGATTTTCTTACATCTAGTGGTGTAACACCTACTTATTGGTGAAAATAAGGAGTGAAAAACTGATTCTGTGGATTTAACAAAGTGTCCATCTTACTTTTAAAACGATTATTGTGTTAGAGAAGGTCATAAACTTCACACAATCATTGCCACTCATGTTCTGAATTACGAAGTAAAACAGGGGACTCTCAGTCAGTAGTTATGGGACAGAAACCTGACATCAACAATTCTATGTGATCATGGGAAAGTGTAGAAATATGTTTTCTGGTTGGCACTGTAAGATTGTTGTGTGATTACTAAAGGTCAAAATTGGTTAATTCCAGCAACATCTTATGTGGAAAAATCTCTGAGATAGTGATTGGTGAAAACAGTGTCTGATCTCCAGAAACAATCTTCCATAATCGTCGGGAGGGAGCAGTTGCCATGAAGAAGTGCTGGGGTAGATGCTATAACTCTGACTTCGTGTGGGTTGGATGTTGATGGTAGATCGATCCAGCCCTGCTGCCTTGAGGCTCTCATCCAGAAGGATATGGTTGTTCGGGAGATGTCTGCTAATGCATTCCTTGATAAAGTAATTTACAGTTTTCTTAATCTTCATCTTTTGGAACTTGTCCTTTGCAACTATATGGGTGAGGCTCACACTGGGTATAATGATAAATCTTCGAATTCCTCTGATCCCAGAATGGATGAGATGAAACTGCCTGTCTGGTTGTCCAGGTAATTGATTCTTGGCGAAGAAATCCCATCTCAAGCCAAGATGAGCCGATGCAATATTGTAGCTGTCAAATCTTGTTAAGATGAAATCAATTGCATGTATCTATGACATCCTGGCTGCCGTGGCTAAAGCAAGAAGATATAAGGTCTTCTGAGTCAGATGTTTGATGTTTGTTGTCAAGGTTCATAAGCATTGCTGTTAAGATGCTTGAGCACTATGTTCAGACACAAGGCTGGGGCTCTGAATTTCTTTTGTTGATCTTCCAGTCTATACGATCTCAATAAACACTGTGATTTGATTCTGTTACCCACGGTTGAAACGGAGCTGATAGCTAAATAGGTGCCTAGTGTTGAACTTTTAAGGCTTCTTGTGCTTTGCAGGTGGTGTAATAACTCTGCTACTTGTTGTGAAGTGGCCTCAGCTGCTGAAAATCCCTTAGATCTCGCAAGCAGGTAACAACTCTACCATTTGGAGGCTTCTTATGGATGCCTTGGTTGCTGTGGTTGAATATCCTCTCTCGACAAGGTTGAATGTAATATGTTCCATACATGAAGTTAGTAGAGATCTAGTCTTGGATGAACTTGCTTTGTGTGAGAATGCAGAAGATTTGGCCAGTTTGGGAGCTTAAGGATTAGATACCCTGCTAATGTGACGAGCTCTGGGAACCAAGTAGTGGTAGTAGGTTCTTGGATTGCATGGTCTCTTATCGCCAGTTGGAATGCTTCCGGATGAAGCATCCATTTTGTTGGTGATGGTTTGGCTGACCTGCATTTGACACTCCTGGGATGTGTCTTGCCTTTATTCTTAAGTTGAGACTGCCTGTGAGTTTGTACAGTTTAAATGTTAATCTGCAAAGGGTTGCTGACCTTGTCGTACCCGGGAGATTTACGTGGAAAGCCACTGTTAAATTGTCTGTTCTTATCATAAGATATGTCTTTTAGGTATGGTGCCCAATGTGTTATAGCTTGGATGACTGCCTCGAAGTCTAGGTGGTTGATTTGGAAGAGCTTCTTTTCTGCTGACTGATAACATGTCAGTCCTAACCACATTGTGTGGTATATTTACATTCGAGTGTACTGGAAGTGACCTCTGAACTTGACTACGTGTGTGAATGCGTGAGCGGAAGCTGAGGGGGAGATGGGAAAATTGGAGAGGAAGCGGCGTGTTTACGGATGGCGGGGATTTGACATGAACTGTCAGTGGTGTGTTGAGTGAGAGAAGGACTAACCAGGGCCAACAGTGGAAAGGGCCATAAAGGTAAATAACACTGACCATAGCCCTGAAGTTACTTCTGAGTTGAAGTGAGCGCTCTATCCTTGTAGGGAGGTGTCTACTAATAGATGCTGATTGTAATCTGGCATTTCAAAAAGGTTCCTCCACAGACATTTGACTTGATTGTCCACCAATGAAGGTATTTCAAAAGATGAGGTGGTAGTCTGATATATGGATGATCTAGGAACTGTTTTAGGAACAAAGTTGCAGTCTGCCTCTTACTGTCAACTCTTGGGCAGAGATGAGTAGTCCTAATATCACTTGCCACAAGTGTCAACATATATATGTATATAAACAGAGCAGCCAAAGATAAAAATGAAATTATATCAATATACGAAAATAGAAATCATATCAACACAAAAATAATTTTTTTTATGAATACCAAACCTCACAATAGATATGTGTATCCTACTCACACACAAGTCCAAAAGAGGGACAGGGCAGTCAAAATTGCTAAGGCAGAAGACGACCTCTTAAACACTTAAAGCAACAACAAGTGTCACCTCACCACAACAGGGCTTGGACACTGAACCTGATGTGACCCACCAAGCGCTTGCCATGCCACGAGAAAACGTCGACAATCTCCATCCATCCAGAGTATGGTAAGCCTCCATATGTCTCCACCAAGGAGATAGAGGAAGCCCTCCCGCCCAGCCCACAGCCCCCAGTCATAGCCAAGGAACTCGCTTCTCACAAATCCAGAAGGGAGGAGCCCTTCCCCTAAGCTGAGGGAACAGGCCACAGGAAGAAGAAGAGGAAAAGGAGAGACATCCCCTCGGCCAAAGCCTCAAACCACACCAGTCAAGGAGTTCAGCATAGGCAAAATCAAGGAATGGGAGGCATATGAAGACTTGATACAGCTATCTAACAGGATCCTGTAGTCTCGCAGGAAACAGCCCAACCCATGCACCAACATGGAACCAAGCGGCCGCCTGTACCATGGTCATGGTTCAGTACATGACAGACCAAAGGTTTGAACACAAGCTAAACTTGTATGAAGAACTCTAAACGACTTCCTCAAAAACTGCCAGATGGAAAAGACTGACTTCACCTCCAATTTAATCGCCAACGCAGCTGCTCAACCCATCTCCACGTGTTTCCATGGTCTCGACCACCTCAAAGAAAATCCAGTAGTTACCAAGTAGCCTGCCAAACCGTACCTTCTAACCCCTGACCCCTACCCCATCCAAGCCCACTCTTTCCACCTATTATCTAATATTATTTATTTAAAAACCTCTCCCCAACCACCCATAACCCCCCACAATCTTAGTCTCTTTATTTTTTGTAGTCCCGTTAAAAGTTTACTTTACATTTTTTTAGGTTCTCTTTAGGTAAACTTTTTTTCTCCCAATAATATAGTGCAAACCTGTGTGCAAAATATGCTTGATGTCTGAAAGCGCACTTAATTTCCCAATTAACTAACTAACTAAGTGTCATAGAAGTGACAGCTCACAGATGATTCTAAAAAGAGTCACAGCAGACCTTAAAAAAGCTCAATTAAACAGGCAATACCTAGCCACAGTATTTTTGGATTTCAGCAAAGCCTTGGACATGGTATGGCATGACGGACTCCTCACAAAACTAGCACAAAATGAAGTAGAAGGGAACATAGCAAACTTCATAGACAGCTTCCTGCAAGACAGGTCGCTATCAGTTAAAATAGGGAACAATCAATCTGATCCTTTGTCCCTGGACAATGGCATACCACAAGGCAGCATTATATAAACAGAGATATTTCACAAATCAGAAAAAAAATCCAGTCAGCCCTGGACAGAGTAGATCAATGGTGCAATAAATTGGGGTTCACCCTTTCAAGTGAAAAAAATGTGGGAGTTCTATTCAGACGCAGGGGGAAAGATGCTATGATACCCTGTCTCTCCATAAAAGGCAAATCTATCAAATTCCTAGATCAACACCTCACTTGGAGCAAACATATAGAATATTTGGAATACAGATGTCAAAAAGAACATATTACGGCAATTTCAGGCACATCTTGGGCCACATCTAGGGACACTCAGCTGGGCCTCTACAAATCACTTATCAGATCAAAAATAGACTATGACTGTGAAGCCTTTCACTCAGCATCAAATACTGTCTTGAGATGCCTGGACAGAATACAATACAAAGCCCTAATACTGGCCACAGGTGCAGCAACAGGCACTTCATTAGAAGCAATGCAAGGAGAAATAGGAGATCTCCCATTGGAACTAAGAAGAGAGCGGGCAATATTACCATTCTGGGGACGACATCAAACTCTTTGGTGAAAAAGATACAGCAAGACAAAAACAACCGAGATGAAGCCCTAGCTCGGAAAAATCCCTCACTAAAGTCTTCTGGTATATTAGTATAAGAACTTATAGGAAGTCACAATTGTGATGACATTCAGCCACCAGAAAGTCACTGCAAAGGGTTACACCCTCCCTGGGTTGACACTGCTTTAACATCAGAAGTCACTAAAAAGAGAACCCAACCCTACTATGATCAGTAGCTATCACTAAAATTCAAACTACCTGGGACAGCTGGGCCCATATATACACTGATGGATCCAAGAATCCTATCAA